CAGCCTCAGACAACGGGAAGCCCCTTCCAGACCCCGCAGCTAAACCCTAATGCAGACAGCTTCAGTCCTGTTAGAAGTCACATCCCAGATATGAATGTCAGCAATAGGGGTGATCTAGTAAGAAGGAAGCCACAGGAATTCGATGGGAAGGCACCTTGGGATGCATATAGAGCACAATTTGAGCTCCTGGCAGAAATGAATGGATGGATAGAGGAGCAGAAGGGACAACCACTGGAAATACTTGGACAGTTGTCAGCAGACGACAGGCACAACTATAGAGCACTGGTAGCGGCTCTAGAACTCAGGTATGGAACTCAAAATCAGTCCAAAGTCTACAGAGCTAGGTTTAGGACGAGAGTCCGTGCTAAAGGGGAGAGTCTGCAAGAGCTGGCACAGGACTTGGAAAGTATAGCACACAAGGCCTACTCAATTGCACCACCCGATCTCCTCAAGTTGTTGCTGAGGGATCAGTTTGTAGATGCCTTGGACAGTCCACAACTTAAGATACAAGTAAAGCAAGCACACCCCTCTACTATACAAGATGCAATGGCCAGAGCTCTTGGAATTTGAATCCTACGTTAAGTCCAGCACAGATGTACCAAGGTTGGTACAGTCATCAGGATTCAAGGCCAGAAAAGGTCAGCTTTCAGAGAGGTTTGAGGGACTTTGCTGGCACTGTAACAAACCCGAGCACAAGAAAGCTCAATGCTGGCAACTTCAACACAGGGAAGATGCCATGACAGAAAAGGCAGCTACCCAGAAAGGTTGTTGGAACTGTAGAGAGCAAGGACATATGAGGAAGCAATGTAAGAAGAATATTACCAATAAGTCAGCTTCGGGAAACCAGTAGTGGTTGGTGCTGAGGGATGCCCACCAACCCCCATCATGAAAGTCCCAACAGCTAAGAGTAAAATGGCAAGCACACATAGTGTCTATGTGACAGGAAAGCTGGAAGGGCAAAGGTGCAACTTTGTAATAGATTCTGCATCGCAGCAAACCCTTGTGAGTATCAAGGTGCTGGATCACAAAGGAGTACTAAAAGCTGTACAGAAGCTCTGTGGTGTGACAGGACATTATGTAAAGTTGTGGGGACCTGTGTGGGTAACTATTGAGCTCATGGGCATGAAGAACAGACAGAAAGTATACTTGGCTGACATTGAAGACCAATGCATATTAGGGTTGGACTATTTAATACAGAGGTAGTGTGTAATTAATTTTGATAAAATGACGTTTGGGAACAACAAAGGCCAAATTCTGGTAAGTGTTAAAAGAGAGGTTGAACTAACCAGGTGCAATCATGCTGAAGTCAAAGTGACTGAAAGTGTTGATGATGGTGAAGTCGAACCAAATATAGATATCAAAGCAGAACAAGAGAAAGATCAAGATTTGAAGCCAATAATTGATTTTCTAAAAGCAAGTGTTTTGTGCCCTGCTTGAGAGAAGGTGTCTAGTCTAAGCCCTGTGACAAAGAACTATTGGGCACAATGGGACCAGTCGAGGCTTGAAGATGGTATTCTTGTCCGGAGATGGGAAACTGCAGATGGGAAAGTGACGACCTGGCAAACGGTTATACCGAGAAAGTTACGGGAAGTTGTACTTCGTCAATCCCATGATAGTTTAATAGGAAGACATCCCGGAGTTAAGAAGACATTGAGTCACCTACGACAGAGATTTTACTGGATAGGTATCAGGCAAGATGTGGAAGAATGGTGCAGGACATGTTGTGCTAAAAGGGGACATGCTCCAATGAAGTTATATCAAGTTGGTGCACCAATGGAGAGAGTAGCTGTTGACATTGCTGGTCCTTTGCCCCAAACTCATACTGGAAACAAGTACATTTGTGTGGT